TGCACCCCAAATTCGAATTTGAAAAGCTGCAGCAGAGGGTGGTGTATTCGGCTCAATTTTTGTGTGGCCTGTTGACGTCCGTTGCCCTTCGCCCCCATTGCCCTGTTACGTTGTTGCCATGCACGTCTGCATGCGACCCCTGCGTGGCTCGGCTGCGCAGGTATGGAGGCTTGCGGGCTCAAGTTCCCCACGTGTGGAGGGTGTATTTGGAACGTTCGGGTCGGGATGTCGACGGGCTTCGTGGGGTGCTTGCAGCCAGAGCCCTGTCGTTTGTGGTAGGGTTGCGATCCCTAACAACATTGCGCACGCTACGAACTACGTGAGGCGAGTTGTCGGCGAGCGGTTGCTGGCTCCCGTGGTTGTGCGGCCATCTCCATCCGCTTCATGTGGTGGTGTAGACGGCAGTGTCGGCATCCCGGGAGGTAGACTTTTGGACGTTGTGGCACATCTCCAATTCCGGGAAGGAGGAGCGATCCGGGGAAGCTGTTCCTCGCCTTCCACGCGTGCGATGTTCGTTTCCCTGACGCCGGTGCACAGCCGTCACCAAAGCGAGCGACAGTCAGGGTGTTCGTGTTGTCCTTGTTGGTGTGCACGCAGACGCTTGCCCCCATCCTTGTCTGATGCCCTTCCGCCGAATCGGCGTTAGAGTGCATCTCCGTCTACGTTGCTTATAGCTATTGTGTTCGTTGTTGTCGGTGTGTTCGGCGCCATCTTCGTTACATTCGTGGTTGTTGTTGTGCTCGTGCTGGCTGCCTTGTGTGTCCTTCTGCATCGTAAGCGGAGGTGAAGCCCGTGGTGGTAGCCTTGTCCGAAGTGACAACATCATGGATGGCCGTGGATGGCCGTCGGACACGCCCGTGTCGGGAGGGCAAGGAAGCCGGTTTCCGAGGTACATGGGGAACGAGAACCTCGGTTTCGAAGCCAAGCTCTCCATGGGACTGTCTTCTATGACGTCGGACCCCAAGAACTGGATTCGTCCTCGCCAGCAGACATCCATGCACAGTCGCTTCCCGGGCACATACACATCCGGCATGGACGACTCGACGAGAGTTGTCACAGACCCAACTCCACGTGCTCATCCTTTAGCTTCGCCAGCGGTGGGTGGAGCTGCATGTGCTCCCGTTCACACAACGCGGATCCAGGGCGGTCCTCGTCCTCAAGCCTTCCAAGGCGCCTCCTTTATGCCTCCCCCGGCTCCCGCGTGTATGATGCCGCCTTCGGTCGACCGCTTACGGACCGCTGCTGTGGAGAGGGCGTGGCCGAACGTCCGCAAAGTTGGGGGTGGTATCGTCGAAGATGTGGGAGGGGTGCGGCAGGTCGTCGATGCGCCCCCTTCACCTATGGATCAAGGTGAAAGGGACGACCGACGCGGGGGTTAGGAAGCACGTCCGGCGGTAGCGGATGTTCGTGTAGGACAACAAGGCTCGTCAAGCGAGAATGGCAACCGCGGTGGACGTGTGGCGGAGAGTGGCAGTGACGTGGACACAGGTGACAACAATGCACGGGCGGATGGAGGTGGTGCACCTACGAAGAGGCAAACCAGGCCATGGACGCTCGAGGAACGCCTCGATTTGGCGAGGTTCATGAAGGAAGATGATGCAATGATGACAATGGTGTCTGGTCGACTGAAGCACGCCAGACGATCAGTGAGGAACGAGTGGGTGTTAAGGAAGATGAGGGAGGCTGGGTGGATACGGTCTGCTGAGGACTGCAGGAAGAAGTGGTCTGACCTCATGGGCAAGATGAAGGACATCCTGCACAAGTGCAACGCATCAGGGAAGCCGTCGTATTGGGACATGAACGTCGAAGACAGGAAGAAGGAGGGAATCCCGACGACGTTTGAGCAGCCGCTGTGGGAGGAGATGGAGTGGGCGCACAAAAAGCCATTTGTCACCTATGACAACACCATGGCATCATCAAACTGCCAGGGTGCTGAAAGCGGTGTTTCCGATAAGGCAATGGCTCTTCAGAAGGCGGGGGCCGGAGCAGTGCGACCGCCGAAGAAGACGAGCGCTTGCGTAAGAAACGGCGTGGGGCGACGGGAAAAGAGCGTGTTGGTGACCGCCCGCCGGTGCTGACTGTGGAGAGGGCTCTGCTAGATTCCAACATGGCGGTGAATGAAGGGATGGAGAAAGCGGCTGGCACTCCGGCCCGGGTGAGCACAGAGGATGCGCAGCTGCTGGCGACCCAGGTCGGCGTTGTCGCCAGTGCCATAGAGGAAGGAAACACTGTGCTGCAGATGTTTGTCGGCGTCATGGCTGACCGGCGGCGAAACGGTAACGACAATCGGGAAGGAGAACATGGGGACAGCAGCCCCTCCACCTGGTGAAACTTCAGTCTGTGATGACAACAGCGCATGTTGGGCGACGACAGTTGGAGAAGGATAGAAAAAGGGGAAAAAAACAAGTTCAACTAAAAAAAAAAAAAGGGAAAAAAAGTTAGAAAAAAAGATTATGAAAGAAACAAGGCAACGGAGCGATGGAGGCACCATGACACTAACCGGGGGGGGTTCATTTCATGGTGCCTCCTTCGCTCTGTTCCCTTTTTTCTTTCTCAATTTTTTTTTTATTTTTTTTTAGTTGAACTTTTTTCTTTCTCAATTTTTTTTCCTTTTTTCCCTATTTTTGTTCGTTGAATTTTAATTTTTTGGTTTGCATGTCACGTCATTCACTTCCTCTTGTTGTCGTCCGACGACATTCCGACCGTCGTGACTGTTTTGAGAGGTCACCGACTATATTGTCCTCATTTGCACGGTGATCTGCCAAAATGTCATTTCGGACGGGCAGATCTTTCGCTGCTCCGCGTGTCAGGATTCTGTCAGGAAATGGCAGTCGGGGAGGGAGAGAAAGAGAGAGAGAGAGAGAAAGAGAGAGAGAGAGAGAGAGAGAGAGAGAGAGAGAGAGAGAGAGAGAGAGAGAGAGAGAGAGATTGGTGCGCGTGCGTATATAACGTTGTGACCGCAGTCCTGAAGATCACTGCGATTGCGCATTTCGCCAAAGCTCAGTGGAAGGGCGGTCCTGTACTGGGTGAACGGCGGCGACCGTGAGAGAGAGAGAGAGAGAGAGAGAGAGAGAGAG